GCTCTCACTGAGAGCAGCGCACGTGCCTGGTCACCTGAATGTGGGACCAGACAGACTGTCCAGGAACAATGTTCCAGCAGGGGAATGGTCGCTGCACCCGCAGACGGTCCAGCTGCTGTGGAAAACGTTCGGCAGAGCACAGGTGGACCTATTCGCGTCCCACGAAAACGCTCATTGCCCGGAGTTTTTCTCGAAAAGCAAGGACGCGCTGGCTCATGTTTGGCCCCGCTGCCCCCTATATGCTTTTCCTCCTGTCTCGCTCCTGCCTCAGGTGTTGGAACGAATCAGGGAGAACGGATGCCCAGTGCTGCTCGTAGCTCCGCTCTGGACAAACCAGACGTGGTTGCCTGCCCTGATGCAGCTGACCAGCACTGCCCCATGGCCTGTACCATTGAGGAGAGACCTCCTCTCTCAGGCGGAGGGCTCGATTTGGCACCCTCGCCCGGAGTTGTGGTCCCTGCACGCATGGGCCATCAACGGGTACCCGCTAGCCTCCCAGAAGGAGTGTTAAACACGATCGCGCAGGCTAGAGCTCCGTCTACCAGGCGGCTCTACTCCTCGAAATGGTCTGTTTTCTCTGCATGGTGTCAAGCCCAGAGGTTTTCACCTGTGGAATGCGGGGTTTCGGAAGTGCTTTCCTTCCTTCAAGAGCTACTGGATAAGGGCAGGACCCCATCCACGCTCAAAGTATATGTGGCGGCCATAGCAACGTTTGCAAAACCGGTGTCTGGCCAGTCGCTGGGGAAAAACGACTTAATCGTGCGTTTCCTTAGGGGAGCTCGGAGGCTGAACCCTCCCAGGCCCCCTTCAGTCCCGACGTGGGACCTTTCCACGGTCCTGGAGGCCATGAAAGGCGCCCCGTTCGAGCCAATCCAGCTGGTGGACATGAAACACCTGTCGTTCAAAACAGTGTTTCTCATGGCTCTCGCTTCAGTGAAGCGCATAGGGGACTTGCAGGCGCTTTCAGTAAGCGCGTCGTGTATGGAGTTTGGGCCTAATGACTCAAAGGTCATTCTCAAACCTAAGCACGGGTATGTCCCGAAATCCCTCAATACACCGTTTAGGGCCCAGGTAATTTCCCTGTCCGCCCTTCCGGTTCTCAGTGAGGAGGAGGACGCGAGACTCCTTTGCCCCGTCAGGGCATTGAGAGCTTATGTGTCACGCTCGTCTGTTTTCAGACAGACGGAGCAGCTTTTCGTTTTGTTTGGCGGGCGTTCCAAGGGACTCGCCGCCTCAAAACAGAGCCTATCCAGATGGATAGTGGATGCCATTGCGCTCGCTTACTCTGCAAAGGGCCTACAGTGCCCCTTGGGTGTCAGAGCGCACTCCACGAGAGGCGTGGCCTCTTCGTGGACTTGGTCGAGCGGGGTTTCCCTGCAAGATATCTGTACGGCCGCGGGCTGGGCCTCGCCGTCTACATTTATAAAATACTATAACCTGGAGGTACCCGCCTTACAAGCTAAGCTTTTGGCGGTCTAAAATTCAGTGCTATCTGCCCCGCTGTGCGGCCCTGATGCTGAGTTTACTGCAGCCCCATGAGTGTTGACACACGTATGGCCACCCAGATCAGGCTGAAAGCTTTCACCCTGGCTGCGCGTTTTATTGTCATATGATAGCCCCGCTGGGTGCTTTTTTATAGGGAATGACGCTTCCAGCCTCTCTTCCTCCACTCTATGTGAGTTTATGGTGATTATGCACTACATGAGCCCTGGGCTTCGGCCCTTGGGACTTTGGTGTTGGATCCCTGTACGCACGGCGTGTTGCATTGTGTTCCCCTAGCGTAAAGCTATTACGCAGTACGAGAGATACTCTCGTAAGAGAACGTACTCGGTTACTAACGTAACCTCGGTTCTCTCTAGCCCTCTGGGGTCCTTCATTTCAGGGTCACACTCAGGGTCTTCGGGACCAAATGGTCCGGAAGGGTTTGATTCATATTTATTAAAAGAAAATCATATATATATATTTTTACTTGTTTTTTATAAAAAAAATTATTTTATTTTTTGGTGTTTTGAGAAAATTTTATGATTTATAATTAATATTTATGCAATAATTATGACCCATTTTTCCCATTGAATATAATATAATTTTTTTATAAATATGTATTTTTTTTTATTTTTTTTTTAAAGCTGTATTTAATTTTAGAGTCAAGCCTAGGCCTCATGAAAACAATTTTTGAAATGAGATGGATGCCATCTGCTGGACACACTGAGCATTTTTATCACGCAATAGCACATTTTTACCACTAGTGGATTTACAGCTCTCTGTAGAAAGGGTTCAGAATTCTTGTGAGTTTTGCACATCTTTGACAATTTTTTTCAGGTTGTTGATTTTAAAATATAATAACAGATTCTCAAAGACTATTTTTGTCTTGTTTTTTGTTTGTTTGTTTGGTTTAAATGGTAATTTGAAGTGCCAGTTTTACTTTATAATACAGATTATTATAAATATTTAATACAGTGTGTGTGTGTGTGTGTGTGTGTGTGTGTGTGTGTGTGTGTGTGTGTGTGTGTGTGTGTGTGTGTGTGTGTGTGTGTGTGTGTGTATGTGTGTGTGTCTGTTTTGCACTCTTGATGTTTTAGAGATTCACCCCTTCACTGTTGAGTCCTTTTTTCTGCATCCTGGCTGATTTGTAGATTGTATGCAAAAAAAAAAAAACTCTGACAATTTCCCATTCATTTCCTATGGGGGTCATTTTTGACCAAAGAGCAGAAGTGTGACGACCACTTAGCATGCTTGGATCATGACCTCAATATTTTTTGTTTGTTCACATACCTAATACCATAAAAGTCACCTAGTTTCGTAACATTCCGATGAAGCTGTGATTTTTTAAAATTCAAAACATATTTATGTAATCTGAATTTATTAGTGTGTTTGTGTATAAAAGTGTGTGTGTGTGTGTGTGTGTGTGGATGTGTCTGTTTTGCACTCTTGATGTTTTATAGATTCACCCCTTCACTGTTGTGTGCTTTTTTTCTGGATCGTGGCTGATTTGTTGATTGTAAGCACAAAACAACTCTGTATTGTCACATTTTTGTCAATTTCCCATTCATTTCCTATGGCGGGTCCATTTGGACCCGAAGACCCTGAGTGTGACCATTTTTTTTACAACCACTTAGACTATTCAAATCCTGTCCCCAATTTTTTTGGGTGTTCATATACCAAGTACCAACAAAGTCACCAAATTTCGGACCATTCCGATGAAGCTATGATTTTACAAATTTTTTTATTTAAATTCTTCGGGTCCATTTGGTCCGAAGAACCCCAGAGGGCTAGAGAGGGAACGAGTACTGCGTATCTTGCCGTGCTTGGAATACGCTCTGGTTCGCTTCAGCGATAAAAACCAGCTTGTACCAGCCTAACGAGCATATTTATAGGGTGAGACCACGCCCTTTCTGGCGGGACGTGACGATATGGGCGCGAATTGCCCCCATTGGTCATTACGTCACGCAGAGTCTCTCTCGATAGGCTGCTGCATTTGCCGCAAGAGCAACCAATAGGCGCGCGAGCTGTTTCGCCTATGTCTGCTTGCTGCTGCAAAGCGTTTTACATTAATAAAAAATTAAGGATAATTTTTGGCTTCAATATCTCGTGGAAAAGAGTTTTTCCCCTAGCGTAAAGCTATTACGCAGTACTCGTTCCCTCTCTAGAGAGAACCGAGGTTACGTTAGTAACCGAGTACGTTTTCTAGGCTGATATGGCTAGGAACTATACTCTCATTCCTGCGTAATAATCAGGAGGAACTATACTCTCATATGACGCAGTGATATGACGCAGCGCCTGAAAATAGTCCCCAGCTGCGTCATATCATTACGCCTGCTGCACTCATGGTACGGCAGTAAAGTTTCTTGATTATTTCTTGTATGCTAAGCTATGCTAAAAGTGGTACCGCCAGAACCGGAGATCGGCTGAATGGATTCAAAAACGGTAAAACTCAACAGTTTAACTCTGGGGGAGTTGTAAAATGAGCCTATTTCCAAAAAAAGTGGAGTATCCCTTTAAGAGTGTATGCAATTTAAACCCTTACCCTCAAAATAATGAACTGGTTTGAGTAACGTAAACTTAAATTAACAAATTATTTCAATCAAATGAACTTTTATGAGTATTTAGAACTTTTCTTTTTCTTTTGAGTTCACAAAATGACACATGTTTTGAGTTAGACAAACTTAAAATGAACTGAAACTGGGCTGGAATTTCTATTTCCCAGCATGCTTCGCCATGACACTCAAAGGGAAGTGTAAATGCTAAAATTAAGTGTTATATAATGTTTTTTTGTGTATTAATGGGTATAACACTTAAAATAACTGCTATTAATCAGTAGCTAAGCATTAATAAACAGTTAATTCATCATTTATAAAGCATTAATAGACATCAATAAGCAGTTTATAAATACAGCTATAAGAGCTTTAATCTTGATTCATAAGCATATCTAGAATGTGTTTAATAATTGTATTTTCATACTCTATTATTGATAAATTTATCATTTCTAAATGAAGTATTGCATTATTTACAAACCAGTTATTTAGGAGTTGTCAGTGGTTCATAAGATCACAGAAAGTGTAAGTAAATGATTAATAAACTATTTAAATGTGACTTCCCACCTTCCCAGGAGGACTTGAAACGCACCATGTGTCTTGTTAGTTCCCTCGGTTACCCCCGTGTGTTCCCATGACAATTTACCATGCCCCTGTGTTACCTTGTTAGCCTGTGTATACATTGCCCTTGTGTTTCTGCTGTGGTTTGTCAGTCTTTGTTTGCTGTAACATGCTCCTGTCCTGAGTTTCTTTGTTTGCCCTGGATTCCTTGTGTTTGCATTGTTAATAAAGTAGTGTATGAGTATGTAAAATATATGAATTAGCTTACTCAAATATTTAAGAGTAATTCAAAATAGTACAAAATAAAAAATCAGCCAGTTCTGCTTACTTAAACTTGTTTTAAAAATAATGATTACCTCAAATTTGGGGGGTTTTGCCAACGTATTGGTAATATACGCAGAGATGTACCTTGTGCTTGTCAATCAGATTGTTGACCAGGTCTTTTTCACCACAGACAGGCACATCTTCAGCCAGCTGTGGCTCTGCCCTGTACAGCCAGTCATTGAGAGCCTGGAGAGCGTCAGTGAATCTCCCGGAAAACAGCAGAGCCTCTTCCAGCTTGTGTTGCCTTGGCGGGAAAAACACAATTTAGAGCTCAGAGAATATACTCAAATCCCTACAGATCAGATGGTACCGCTCACATCAGACTCACCTCTCACTGGATTTCCCGCTGATGGTGTCCCATGAATCTCTGAGCTCGGACACCATGTTCTCCAGGTGCTGTGTGTCTTCTGGGCCCTGCGCTTTCTCCTGGAGTGAGCGGCCACTCTTCAGACAAGCCTCATACATGGGCCGCTTCAAGCGGAGAAGCTTCTGGAACTCCTGAAGATATACAAATGCACTTCATAAATGATCCATTGTGAAGTATTTATTTCTTTTGGGGTGAAATTTCCAGTGTGGTTTATACATATTATACTATAGATTATTTACTTTCACTGTCCAGTTTTTTTAAAATCACATTTTAAGAGGCACCACATGTAAAATAATAAAGTAAAGTAATTTATATTGGTTTTTGAGGATATTTTTTCTGCTTGCCAGTCGTGCCAGTAGTTCCAATTTTGGTAACGTTTTATTTTGATAATCCACGTTCTACTATAAGCAGTGTTTGGGGTAACGCATTACACGTAATGTGAGTTACGTAATCAGATTACTTTTTTTCAATTAACAAGTAAAGTAAAGCATTACTGTTAAATTTACATCAAAATATTGGAGTAAGTAATGCGAGTTGCGCTGGCATATCTTAAAATTTGTCCCTGTCATTGTTTTGTCTCAAGATGCACACCAGTAATGCTTTTTTTAAAGGCATGTTTATAAAAGCTACTTAAATGTTCTTATTGAACTAAGACCTAATCCTGGCTTAATCTAACATGTCTTTGGCTGCTGATCTTTGATGATCCAATTAAACCATACTAATAAAAAATGACTTTAGACAAACATTTGTGTTTCTTTTTTGTGTGTGTGTGTGTGTGTGTGTGTATTTGCCTTTTCTTATCCCTGATTCTTATTCATTTCACTTTTGGTGTGACAGGGCCTTTACATTAGCAAAAATTATGATTAAAAAACAAACTAGCAAGCCCAGCCCAGGTAAAAAAAAAAAAGGTAATACAAAAGTAACGTAACGCATTTTCCATAAAAAAGAACTAAGTAACACAGTTACTTTGAGTAACACAATATTGTAACGCATTACTTTTAAAAGTAACTTTCCCCAACACTGACTATAAGTTTGCAACTATGTCAACTATCAGTGTTAGTAGACTGTCTGCTTATAGTTATTACCCAGTAATTATAATTACTATAATAAGTACATAGTAAGTACATGGGTAACAGGACTGTAAAAGGAAGCGTTACCCACTTTATTTTGATGCTCCCCTAACCTAACAGTCTACTAATACTCGAATGAGAGTTAGTCAACATGCAGTTGCAAAGTTTTTATAGTTAGTCTAAAGTGGACTATTGAAATAAATTGTAACCCCAATTTTTGCTAGCTATTAATTTATTAACTGGCCCCACCACAAAAGAATGACACATTTTTAACAATGCATTTTTTGGGGATTTACTAGAAATAATCATTTTTAATTAAATGTTAAGATTTCCTTCCAATTTTTTTGGTTCATTAAATATTTTTGCATTATAAAAAGAAAATTAGCTGGAAATTATACTATATACAGCTATAATTTTTTTGTTGCACATTTGCAATGCAAAACATTATATTTAGTTTCCAACACATTCTTACTGATGCTTCCATGACTACCAAGAATACAAAATAAAATCAAAGTAAACCAAACTTTGCATGGCAAAACATTTTTTTTAATTAAAACAAGACCAATGAATGTACATTTTTCTGAGGCAGTGCAGCACTGGCCCAAAAGGCCAAACTGTCAACTGACCCGAAACGCTCTGACATTGGCTTCAGACGCTCTTTGTTGAGACCTGAAATGTGAAGTACCTTTTGTTCAGTAAGCTGTTGTTTGATCTCTTCCTGTGACACAGCGATCTCTTTGTGTGTATCCAGTGTCTGTTCAACCTCCGTCATCCAGTCCACCAGTAAGTGCCATGATTCATTGAACTGTGGAAGTGGAAAGCACAAAAGTTTAGTAGTACTTGCCAAATGATTTCCTGGATACTTTGAACTAACTCTTTCTGTCTGTTTCGAAGTCCATATGAGAAGTGACAACCCGATCTCACGGCAATTCATACGAATTTTACGAGAGGGCTAATTCATACGAATTCATATGACCTCACTTGTACGAATTCGTACGATTTTTGCTAAATCATACATATTTTACGAGTTGCCCAATTCATATGAATTCGTAATGACCTACCCCTGACCCCGCCCCTAAACCTATTACGTGGGTTTAGACAAATCGTACGAATTTGTACGAGTGAGGTCATATGAATTAGCAACCTGTACGAATTGGTCGTGAGATAGCATTGGAAGTGAATACCTGTTTAGCATGCCTTTTGACGTCCTCAAGCGTTTTTCCCCTCTCTGTAGTGTGTTGGAGGAGTTTCTTGAATCTGTCCTGAACGGTCATGATCAGGTTCTGCACAACATCGCAGTCTTCCTTCCTGCTGAGCTCAGACAGACGTGTGGCAGCGTTCTCCACGCTCGTCTTCCTCTCTCCATAAGACTGCACCTCACCTATCAGCATCTACACACAAGATGACAAAATCACACAAACACGTACACTACCACAGACATACACAAATCCATGTGAAGATGCACATACCCTGTGCTCCTGAAGCTGTGAGGAGATGGTGTCCAGGATGAAGCTGGGCGCAGGTAGAGTGTTTATGGTCTCCTCACATTTGCCCATTTTGGTCAGCAGGTCTTGGACATTACTGTTAAACTCCTTTGCAAGACCAAGTCCCTCTGTTAACTTCGCCTAAAAAAAAAAAAAAAAAAAGTTTTTTAAAATAAAATGTAAAAATACGGAAATAAAAATTAATAAAAACATGATATGTTAAATAAAAAAATAAAAACTCATCAAAATGACATTAAGAGCCGGGTGTGAAAACTTTTGAACAGGATGAAGACGTCCAAATTTATTTTGTTTAAATATTTTTAAAAAATTCATTTAGTACTACCCTTCGGAAGCAACAGAATATAATTACATGTTTCCTGGAAGACAAATTTTGTAAAAATTACCTTGATCTTAAAAATTCAAAAAGTTTTCAACCCCCAGCTCTTAATGCATCGTGTTTCCTTCATCAGTGAATGTTTGAACCTACAACATAGTTGTGTTTGAGTCCCTAAATTGTCCTCAGTGTGAAAAGATGGATTCCAAAATTCTACAGTTACTGCTGGAAAGGATTCAAATATGCAAAAGATGCTGGAAAATGTTTTGGTGTCACATGAAACCCTCGTTCCCTAAAGGAGGGAACGGAGACGTTATTCAGAACGGAACTGATGAATTGGGATCTTGCCTGAGAGCCAAATCACCTCAGAGTGTAAATTAAACGAGCCAATGCACACTGGTGTGCGAGATTAGCACTTGCAATGCACATTTAGGTTTTCGCTGAGGAGCCGAGCCGGTGACCCGGCCGCTCAGCGTTGGTACAGCAATTAAGGCGAAGAAACGTAAAGCCTCCTTCAGGAAACGAGGGTTACATATACGTAAATGAGACATTCCCTTTCATTTAGTCATGTTCAACGTTACGTCAGAACTGAACTGACGAATTAGGATCCCTGCCAAAGCGCCACTATTGCTGCCCCTTCCAGCGCTCCGTGTCCAGCCACCTGATCCCCCCACACCTACTGGAGCGGCAGATGGGACACTTCTTACGCAGAGATGGCCGATTACTGCTGTTCCGCTTGACCCATACAGTAAGACTATTGGATAACACCAGGAAAGCGTACCCTTTCCAAGCCGAAAGGGACGCTATGGAGGCCACATCCTGCCCGTAGGGAGGTATTAGGTGGAGATTGCACATATGGACTAGCCATTAGGCAGTGCAACATATGGAAGGTCTCTGAGGTAGCTCCGGCCTATTTAGGGGGGAGTCAACACCGGCAGAGATGGTAGAGCGGGCTCTGCCAAGGGAAAGACACAGGCTCACCTGCAGGGGAAGCAGTACTGTGGAAGAATACACATATGAGTTTTCATTACCGGAATCACAACATATGGGCAACTAGCCTAGCACAGGTGTCAACCACTGGGCGTACTTATGAGTGTTAGGCCTGGAGGCGGACGTCTCCGCCATGTCTGACTGCCAAGGGTGGTGGAGGAAGTCCAACATGGTTCGCCAGCTGGGGAACTCACCTGAGGAGCAAGATGGGTCCCCAGTGTTACTTGCTACTTGAGGCAAGTACACGGGAGGACACTGGCTCTACACGAAGATTATAAAATCTGGCAAACATGGAAATTGCGAGTGCTTGCTGACTTTTAAAACGCGCCTTAAGACATATCTTTTTATTCGGGCTTTTTTATAACATGTTTTTATTGAGATTTAACTGCACTTTACGCTGTTTGATTGTTGTGTGTTTTGATTTGTGTAGTGACCTTGGGTGTTCTGAAAGGCGGCATGAAATAAAATGCATTACTATTATTATTATTATACATGTTGGGTGTTGCTCAGCCCGCAGCTCTACATATATCTGCCAGCGAGGTGCCGTGTGCCAGCGCCCAGGAGAAAGCAACACTCCTGGTAGAGTGAGCTCTCAATCCAAGGGGGCACGGCTCGCCTTGGGTCTGGTACACCAAGACGATGGCATCCACTATCCAAGTGGGCCGACCTCTGCTTAGAGATAGCCTTTCCCTTCTGCTGGCCTCCATAACAGACAAAGAGGTGGTCTGAGGTCTTGGAGCTCTGCGTTCTGTCCGCGTACAGGCGCAAAGCAAAGACGGGACAGAGCAAAGAAAGGGCTGGGTCTTCCTCCTCCAGGGGCAGCACTTGCAGGTTCACCACCTGGTCCCTAAAAGGAGTGGTGGGAACCTTGGGCACATATCCGGGCTGAGGTCTCAGGATAACGAGTTAGCCCAAATTCCAGGCACGATTCATTGGCCAAAAATACCAATGAATCCTCTTGATGGAAGCCAGTGCGGTCAGGAGCACGATCTGCAATGACAGAATTTTCTGCTCAATTGACAGCAGTGGTTCGAATGGGGCTTCTCTGTAATGCTGTTAGCACCAATGAGAGATCCCAAGAGGGTACAGGGTGAGGGCGAGGAGGATTTAGCCTTCTCGCACCCCTCAGGAACACCACTCGACAAACAGGTTCCACTTCAAAGCGTAAGCACACCTCGTAGAGGGTGCTCTCGCCGAAGTGATGGTGTCTACCACTGCCTGGGGTACATCACCTAAATTCTCAGCATCCCGTTTAGAGACCAGACGTGGGTGGGGATTCCAGAGGTCTGGACGCGGGTGGACCTGGACTATATGGTGCCCCGTCTCTGAGAAGGTTCTTCCTCAGCGGAATGTGCCAGGACGGGGCTGTCGCAAGGTGCATGAGTTCTGGGAACCAGGTCCGGTTGGGCCAATAGGGTGCAACTAGCAAGACCTGCTCCTCGTCCTCCCTGACTTTGCACAGTGTCTCTGCAAGTAGGCGCACTGGGGGAAACGCATACATGCGTAGGCCCCGGGGCCAGCTGTGTGCCAGCACATCTGTGCCGAGGGTCCCCTCGGTCAGGGAGTAAAATAACTGGCAGTGAGACTTGTCCGCAGCGGCAAACAGGTCTACCTGTGCGGTCCCAAAGCGGATTTCTCTGAAGAACATTGAGCTGTTGTGGATCATCCAGGTAACGACACACAACATTAAGAGTTAAGGGTACCGTATTTTCCGCACTATACGGCGCACCGGATTATAAGGCGCACCTACAATGAATGACCTATTTTAGAACATTTTTCATATATAGGGCGCACCGGATCATAAGGCGCATAAGATCCTGCAGTCAAACGTTTGACTGGGTTTGCCTTATGCATCCACTAGATGTCAACAAATGTCAACAAAACAGTCAGATAAAGTCAAACTTTATTAAGCTTTCTGACAACTCCGTTCACTCCCATGGTAACGTTGTTCAAACGTTAAAGGAAAACTCCGGTCAATTTTAACATTGAGCTCATTTTTTGTAAATTTGGAGTGCTATCAGTACAGATAACAACGACAAAAACCGGTGTTGCCTACACCGTGTTATCCTCTTTTTAAAATTTGCACCCTGTTCCTTAAACGGGAAAAGTTTTAAACCTGCTTTTAGCCTCTTAACAACCTTAATGTGTCATTACAAGTGCACAGCCATGTGAGTGAATACGGTGAATCTGACTCCAGTAAATGTGAAAGATATGAATAAAAATGATGTTTATTCAGCCAGCTCACATAGCTGCTTCCCGTATTTTCTTCCTGTTTTCGGTCGAAGTCCACAGTTGGCGATTGGCGAGTGCGCGCGCGCGATCATTGGTAACTAAGCAACAGTGGAGACTCAGACTGTCAGCCGATGACGGTGCTGTGTGGTGTCCTGAGAATATCAGCTCAAATGGATAGTTCATCCGAATCAGATGTTGAACACATGGAGGAGGTTTGATCGCGCGCGCGAACTCGACAATCAACTACTGTGGACTTCGGCCGAAAATAGGAAGTAAATACGGGTATGTTAGCTGGCTGAATAAAGAAATTATTCCTGCCTTCGTGAAAGCTCGGATCACAGGAGACTGATAATTCAGCCAAGGCATCCACGATCCATTGGCAGATAGTGGCGTAAGTCGCCCGGCGCTGTCTCCCCGTCTTGGTGAACGTGTGTTCACCATTCATATATAAGGCGCTCCGCATTATAAGGCGCACTGACGTTTTTTGAGAAAATTAAAGGCTTTTAAGTGCGCCTTATAGTGCGGAAAATACGGTATGTAAAATTTTGAACGGGTAATTTTGATAAATGCAGCTATTTTTTTGTCTTGTGGACTATATGTAAACATCTTTTATGTAAAATATCTTATTCAGGACAGTCCTAAATAAAAAAATAACATGCATTTTGTATGATCCCTCTTATTTTGTTAAAATAGATTCTGAACAGATTCTGCAAGATTTTGAGCACAACTGTATATAATTGGGCAGAGTCTAAACTGTCATCACCTTTCTTTCTAGCATTTTAGCGTAGACAGTGCTCCATTTCTGCTCCAGTATGCATAAGCTATGCTCCGTGCTGGAGCCCCGGGCTACCTCACTGCCCTCCAGCATCCTGTGGATGGCGTTGCGAACGTTTGTGTAGGCGTGCATTTTAGAATCCATCTCATTACACGACTCCTGTAAAACAAGAAAGAAACTAGTCAGGCTTCATTGTAGCAGAATCATGTTTTATAAACACAGTTTGTAGGGTTGAGACTGCAAATTCAGCAAGCAAAATTAAAGTCATTGTTACCAAATGAGTGTTTAGTCTCTCGCTGGCAGAGTCTGGCATACCCCACACTGTTTTACTGGACGACAGCCTCAGGTCTGTGTGTTCCAGCCACTGCAGGAGATCTTGGATCTCCATGGTTACATCTTGAACCTGAAATCCAGTTATAATTGTTGAGTTCTGCATGAGCTTGAACTTATACATTGAGTGTATGTATGTATGTATGTATAAATATATATGTATAACCCTTAACTGTATAGGGTTATGTAAATTGAGAAAAGTGGAATGTAAACATATGAGCACAATGGGACTGAGACTGATTAAATTAAAGACATTGTTTTAAATAATTCATCAAGTTTATTTGGTCACCTGACTGAGGTTATTTTCCAGCTCTAGCTGTCTGCGCTCTGTCTCGCAGCGGACAAATTCCCAGCTTTCATTCAGCTGTTCCAGACGAGTCTGCAGGACATGTGAACTGTCTCCCGCCCCAGACTCCATCAGGTTTCTGCCGGCCTGGTTCAGAGAGTCTACCGTGCGCACATGGGACATCACATCATTCCGCAGAACCTAGATGCACACAACAACCATCACAGTGAGTCATTCAAAGATTGATACCCTGAGTACGTTTGGAACTGCATATTACCTATACAAAGAAAAAAGTATGCAGTATTTTTAATGTAGTAGCCACTATAGTAATGACAAATTACTGGGGACAATAATTAATATTTCTACTTTGTTACTGTACCTTTTTCAAAAATGAAACTGAAGTATTTCTTATTAGAATTATTATCAAAACAGATCATTTATTCCGGGAAACATTTACTTTACTCCAAAGCATGCTACTTTTTACTCAATTAAATGTAATAAAAAACATAAAAAAACTCTGTTTTTGTTATTTTATACTGAAGAAATCAGGACCTAATCCCAGACGCAATAGTTTTAATAGATAGATTCGTTAGGTAGCTAGATTAATTAACAAATCACTCTATTTAGCCGTTGAATCGGTTCACAAATCACTCAATGAACAATTCATTCCCAAATTGAACTGATCCGATTGCTGCGGTTTTGGAGTCAACAACTCAATGATTTAATTATTTAATTACTGATAAATTGCACATAACAGTAGATAATTATTACAATCATACTAATTAATATAGGCTACAAAGGAAAAAAAGAACCCCTGTGTATGTAGGCAACAAGGGAGGAGGAGTTATTTTGATTCAAATTTATGAGGACACATTAATTAAAAAAAATAATGTTGTGCACAGGAAAATCATTTATAAAAAAATATTGCAGTGTTCCATAAAAAATAAGAACTGTCGATTTTGATTTAATGGTGACATTAAGCTCATCGTATTACATGTAGATAACTACATTTTTGTATCACTAGCTATGTTTCCATCCAACTATTTTTATGTGCATTTTGGGATATCCCATAAAAGAAACGCATAAATTCTAAAATGCGAATAAAACATATGTGCTCAACTCAACGTATGCGCTTTTTATCAGATAAAAACATGTGAATAAACTACGATGGAAACACATTTCCCGAATAAATTCCGTACGCATCAAAGACATGACTCTGCAATGGGACGGCATAACTGGACCAACCAGCGGACCGATCTTTTTGCACATGCAGCATCTGAAATGCTGTTCTGGTCATTCTGAAATGCCTGAGAAACATTTGTTGTCAAGTGTTGCGTATAATTACCTTACAGAATTGTCTTACACGACTGTGTTCCCAAACGGCAGACATCTGCTTCAGAAAGCAGCGTTTATTGTGGTTCGTCCGCACGCTAGTGAGGAGTGATATATTAGCATATATAGAGGAACATTATTATGGCTTCTCCTACTGCGTCAACTTCCATTTTTCTTAGTGATGATATTTATCGCCAATTATGTCGTTTATTAGGAAGTGACCATTTTGTTCTCTTCTTCGATTCGCTGGATGTTTTAGATATTCCAATTTTGTGCGTATTTATTCACAACTTTCGATGGAAACATAGCTACTGTCTGTATGTGGCGGGCCACTTTAGCCAAAATACTGCAAACCTAATGTATTTTCCCTGCTGCCTTTTACTAGAGATTTCAAATGTTAGAAAACCACAATAATTGCATAGAGTTCTTCTTAAAATATTTTGAAAACACATTTTTGTCCCATATTTGGTTTGATTGTATTTTGTTCATTTTATTTGTTGCACATTGTCACCACACATTTACACAGGCTTTTTAAAAATACTTTATGGTATATTTTGTTGCTGTTTTCACTTGATTGCACACACACTTGAATTATCAGCAACTTGAGGTTGAAAGTTTAATTATTTGATAGTGCATGCAATTTGTGTCAATAAAATTAAACATTTGCATATTTGCAGATCATGCTTATTTCATGTGTGCATCCACTGATAGTTCTTATTAGTGAGTCCTGGCTAGTTGACGATAATGATGAATAATGATCATAATAATGTGAAACTGAGCTATACCCTATTCAAGCTCTGTGACTAAGCAGTGAATACAAATACAATTTTCATTCTACAATTTTTACTCTATGCTGTACGATATACTGTTTCACACAGTATTTTTTAAAAGTAGTAGCAGTACACTCTTATTTCATTCTGAAATTAGCATAAATCCCTTCAAAAGAGGGGACTCAACGTCTTCAACAATAAAACATGCCGCAGACACTTAGAGTTTGTGTTTGTACCTTGTGTTTGGCTAGCTCTATCTCACAGGTCTGCAGGTCAATGCTGATTGGCTGAGAGGCCTGCAGGAGGTCAGCCGTGTGGGAGAGCCAGGAGTGCAACTCATCAAGAGTGTTCTGGAACTGACCCAAGCCCAGCAGTGCACACTCCAACTGGTGCTGCTCAAAAACACATTGTTCCGTTGAAGTATCGCTATGATGAAACAATAATTTTATTCACTTAGCTAAAATCTTACCTGTCTGCTAACAGTCACTGACTCCAAGTTGTCCCACCGCTGACGGAAGTCGCACAGTGGAGAGATGGACCCAGGCCTCTCAGTACCCGGGGAAAGACGACACACAAAGCGATGGTTTAGACTCTCTATCTCAATCTTCTTCTGATAGAGCTCCCGCTTAAATTCCTGACAAGAGAGGCGATGACATCATCACAAAAGCTCTAATGAAATTGACAATTAATTTCATTCACACAATTTTCAGTTTCTGAAGGTAGGTTGTTTGTTTGGTCTCACCTTTAGGTCACATAGCTGCTCTTTAACTGATCCCAGGTCAGATCCCACTGAGAACTCCTTAGTGGACTTTAACTCCACAGACTTCAGCCACTCAAAGAGTCCCTTAAAAAGAAGGTCTTATTTTTAAACCTGTTTTTAAAAACCCTTTTGTAAAGTTTTCTTTACCCACCCTAAAATAGATGTGAATACTTTTAAATGCACATTTTGTCAGGTTCTTTCACTGTCAACAAGAAAATTCAAGAAAACCAACAAGAAAATGTACTGAAATAAACTAACTTGAATCTAAATTCTCTATTGCTAGTCTCTCTCAGAAAGGCATCCAATTGGCAGGAAATTGGCCAGTCTGTCAGAGACTCATTACTATAACCACATGGAGGCATGAATACTGAAATACTACAACTGTAGACAGAGACCTACCACCAATGGAGGAGACTAGATGGAAATATATAAGGATGGACAGACAATCCTTTGTGATTGTTTAAATGTCGTCAGCAGCAAGTACAACATGCATTATGAATGTCTTGAAAATAATTTCGATTTGTTTCTTGTGGCTAACTCACCTGCATGCTGTCTTGATAATGGAGAGCCATTCGTAAACATTCTTCTAACTTACTGTTGCACCCTGTCCAAATCTTACTGAGATTGTTCCATGTGCCGTAAAGCTGCGGAGAAAGACTGCTGGGTAGTGAAATTTGAATAATTAACTGTATGATGTACAACAATTCTATAGGGTTTAGTATCATTTCAGTTTCAAATACAAACCTCATCCAAGCATTTGGTGACCTCTGGTTTGTCTGTGTCACCACAGGCTGACATGAGATCCATTCCCAGAATTCCTAGTGTGTCCAGGTCACCTTGTAGAGAATCAATGTCTTCCCTGAGAGTCTGAGAAGGCAGGATAAGAAAATATGGATGGTATGAGGCAAAGAGTGTCTTCAAAACTCAGGAGACAATGAGGGAACATCCTTAAAGACCCTTTTGGAAGCTAGTCTCCAGCATAATATGTACTTGCTAGCAAGATTACACTGGTCTTCTGTTTCACCAGCTGGACCAGCACCAAACCAGCAAAGTCCAAGCTGTTTAAGCAAGGAGACATTGACTACAGTGTCATTTTTGTACCCTACCTGCATGGTCTCCAGGCTCTGTCGGATGGTTTCTGAATCTGATCGACTGGAATTGAGGTCCAGAACAGCTTGTTGTGCATCATTCAGTCCAGCTGTCATGTCACTCACATCATTCCAGAACCTGACTGCCAGATCAAGGAGGTTGAGAAGCAACTTTTCTTTCTCTTGAGCTTGTCTTTGAGCCTCCTCCCAGTGGCTTGTTAGACTGCAAACCCGCTCTTGAATAGCTGGAATTGGAAGGAGATTTACCAAGATTATCATAGTAAGACCGTGCATTTGAAACAATATGCGTATGAGATGCTTTATAATGTGTATCATTTAATTCTGTAGGAGATGAGGTACCTGTGCAAATTGAACTGTCCCCAACAGCCCCTGTGTTGGTCAGGAGCTCCTGAGCCTGTGTCCTCACACTGGTGAGGTCCAGATCCAATTTGGAGAGCTCAGACAGTGTGTGCTTGTTGTCCTGTAGCTGCTCCTGAATTCGTGGGGTGAGGCCTTGAAGAGCAATTGAGGCGTGCAGATGACTACACAGACGCTCCAGTCTCTCTCCAATCAGAGTCATCCTCTCATTCAGCTGACAAGGGCATACAAGGAGTGAGCTATCATTCATATGGCTAAAATGTTGCAATAATGTCTTTCTATACCTCTATAGCAACATGAAACATATGGCTTCTGGAAAACAGGTTATATTTGTTTAAGGTGGCGCTCCTGTACCTCAAACAGTTGGGCACAGCACTAGCAATGTCATGGGTTTGATTCTCAGGGTAAGCAAGCACTGATAAAATGTATACCTTGAATGCAATCTAAGTCACTCTGGATAAAAGTGTCTGACTGCCAAAATGCATAAATGTAGCTAACATAAAAGTCTACAAGTACAGGTATGTTACCTGTGTATAGCGGGGTAGAGACTCCTCCAGAACTCCAGCAGCTTCTCGAACCCTGTCTCTGATGGACAGATGCTGTTCTTCAGTGTCTCTGGCTTTCTGGCAGAACTCCTGTCCCTGAGCTGTATTCAGGTCAGATAGACGGTGGGCTAGCATGATCAGCCGTGCTATCAGTGGCTTATGCTCTGCTATGGACTCTCTGATGCCCTGTTTGGAAGTAATGGAGCACCATGACTAAATGTTGGTCTTTGTATTGCTTTATCTGAAACTACTTACTGAATGACTATTTATGAAGTCGAATAACATTACAAAGTTAAATCATTTTCAAATGAACTGTGTGAATTATTAAATACAAATGAGCTATAAAAATCTTTAGAGAATACTGCATACTGCACAACAATTATACATTTTCTGAAATATTCCAATAGTCCAATGTGTTGTACTTGTAGCATATGTGAGCACAAACATGGGCATCTATTGTTAATGCCTTGCTCTAAAGATGCAGGTTGTTTAGTACCTGCAAGAGGTCCTGTTGTTCTCGGAAAGCCTCGTAGCTAATGGTGTTCAGGGTAAACTGGCCAATAAGGGCTTTGGTTTCTTGTAACCATGGTAACACCTCAGCATAGCCTTCTGAGAACTGACACAAGAGCGACTGAGCATGCTCCAGTTGAAGCACAACGTGGGAATTAGTGGCAGTGGTAACCTGACACTGCTCCTGTAAGGTGCCTAGGGATGACTTTGGAGACAAAAAAAGAGAAAATAGATGTTAACAGAGTATTTTGTTGGTCCTTGAGTAGGTCCTTGTGTTGAAATATTTCAAAAGTGAATGGACAGTATCTTACCTGGAGTCTCGGTGTCTCCCCTTCCTCAGTGTATGTCTGCAGGAGTTCCAAAATCTTCACCATTTTCTCAATGTTAAACTTATGCTGCAGAATCCCTACAGCAAGTATCTGCAGAACAACATACATCATATGATTTATTTTGAAGAACTTTACAACATTTACAACAGTATATATATACACAGAAACAATCTTTGTAAATGTGCTAAAACTCACTTTCTGCTCATTGAGATGGGATGCAATGGTGTCTGGGTCTAGATGAATGACTCTGAGCTCCTCCAGTGCCAGTGAGGTGTCTCGAAACCAACCCAACTCTTTCTCAACAGCCTGTTCCAACTAAGAAAAACAGGTTAATTTAGCAGCTGCTCTTATCCAAAGTGACTTCCTGAATTTAGATGCCTTGCTCAGGAAGCCACTTCCTAAAACACTTTAAACCACTACACACAATGCTGCACTGCACTGGCCACAGCGGTCCAGAACAATATCTTGTGTATGTGATTAGATTTTGTCATGGCCAAATAAAGGACAAAGCAATTATCCATATGCCTCTTACCTTCTGCCTCTCAGCAGAACACAAGACTGCGTCCCCAGTCTGACTCTGAGCAGCAGGAACCAGCAGCTCTCTCTCAATACGACCCAGCCACAGGTGGAGGTCTTCCTGACTGGAGGTACATCGACTAGACGCCTCTAGAGCCTGCTCCAGCCTCTGCAGGACATCAGCACTACCCAGACTCATCACTGAGTACCTGATACGCAGACTGTCTACCCGCTCCTGCACCAGCTGGGTTTCCTCCTCTTTAGAATAGCATGTGAAGGACCAAAACTTGTTTGAAAAATGTTCTTGTGGGTATTGTATGAAGTTTAGTTTAATCAATTAAATAAAAGTAGAAATGGAGGAAACACCACCTGAAATCGTTTCCATGAGCTCATGAGCACATTGTTGAAGTTTCCCCAGGTCGACACTCTTAGATTTGATTTCTTCCATGACTGACTAAATGGTGATAGAGAAATTTTATTTTCTTTCCACATTGACATTGTGTAATACAAACATTTATGAATTAAATTTTGCAATGTTTTGCTAACCTTGGCCTGTCCTGTGGCTTCTTGCAGATGGAGCATCCCTCTCTCGGCAGAGCGGAGCTCGGCTAAGTCCTGATCCACAGATATGAGCCATTGCTGAAGTCTGTCTGTCCTCTCCTGGAATAGCTGAGCCCTTGGCAGAATGACCTCCAGAATCCTGTATCTGTCAAAAAACGTGTATTCCTTCACTGCTTTCTATACGTGGTTCACACTTACATCTAATCAGATAGAGTAAAGAGTATGCATATTTGGTGTGATGTCCGAGAGGAGGGCTCCAAGTTCGGAATTTGGCCCAAACCCAGAGTTCTCCCCCCATATCCCTGAATGGGATAGGAACAATTGAGAGTGAGGAGATGGGGTGTTGGAGGGATGCGCGAAATCTGTCGTGGGACAGAGGTATCTGAACGTGTTCTTCCAGAACTTTGTTAATAAAATATAATTTTGTAAGTGTAAATTTGCATTGAGAATATATATAATGGTAAATCGATGACTCTGATGTAACCAGAGTCTCAAGCAATATATGAGTATACCTGTGTATTATCTCTGCTGCTAGGGATATTAAGGGTTTCAGATTTACTTACCCAAAGCATCATGTTAAAGATGTTCTGATTGGTTGTTTTATATGTCAATCAGGCAGACCCATCTAACTGGGTAGTTCTGGACCAAAGTAAGCTGCAGTGTGGACCAGACTGACCTGCTGTTTGCGCCTTCAAGTAGAGCCTCCCACTTGAGTTTGAGCTGTGAGAGCTGCACTTTGGTCGTTTCACTGTCATTTCCCTGAAGCCCTTCTGCCAGGTGTGGACCCTCCTGTATCATGGTCTCTATACTGGGTCTTCTGTCCTCTAGGAGGCGCTGTAAGAGCTGCAGGACAAGAAATGTTTTTGGACAAATAATATGTTTCCTTCAAAGCCAAGGGCTTGTAAGCAAGTGATCCCAGAGCACGTTAACACTGGACTTGTACACCCTTTGGCAATTTTGGACACATACAATTTTGGACTGTAGAAGGCAAACAGACTATTGAAGAAACTTGCAGAATTGACTTCCTAACACAATGTTGTAGAACATTTCCGTCTCAAAATCATTATTTTGTCTTTGAAGACGCTTTGTATGAGGAAGCAAACACACATTGTGTTTACAGAGGTATTGCTACTTCTGAAAATCTACAAGTTTTATAATGCACCTTGTTCTCTCTTTGTGGCACTTAAGCCAAACGCTTGTATCATGTATCAGATGAGCATTGTGGACTTTCAGGTATGTTTCACCTCACTCACTAAGCTAACAAAGATGGCTATTTCAAATTACGAGTTGAATGACTTGTTTTTCCCTCCCTTTCCTATAATATACACAAAGGCAGGTAGAGGCTCATTATAAGCATGAACTTATATCATGACAAGACTTTTAAAATAGGTAAATCTATTTTTACTATTCATTTGTATATACACTCACCGGCCACTTTATTAGGTACACCTGTCCAACTGCTCGTTAACACTTAATTTCTAAGCAGCCAATCACATGGCGGCAACTCAGTGCATTTAGGCATGTAGACATGGTCAAGACAATCTCCTGCAGTTCAAACCGAGCATCAGTATGGGGAAGAAAGGTGATTTGAGTGACTTTGAACGTGGCATGATTGTTGGTGCCAGAAGGGCTGGTCTGAGTATTTCAGAAACTGCTAATCTACTGGGATTTTCACGCACAACCATCTCTAGGGTTTACAGAGAATGGTCCGAAAAAGAAAAAACATCCAGTGAGCGGCAGTTCTGTGGGCGGAAATGCCTTGTTGATGCCAGAGGTCAGAGGAGAATGGCCAGACTGGTTCGAGCTGATAGAAGGGCAACAGTGACTGAAATAACCACTCGTTACAACCGAGGTATGCAGCAAAGCATTTGTGAAGCCACAACACGCACAACCTTGAGGCGGATGGGCTACAACAGCAGAAGACCCCACCGGGTACCACTCATCTCCACTACAAATAGGAAAAAGAGGCTACAATTTGCAAGAGCTCACCAAAATTGGACAGTTGAAGACTGGAAAAATGTTGCCTGGTCTGATGAGTCTCGATTTCTGTTGAGACATTCAGATGGTAGAGTCAGAATTTGGCGTAAACAGAATGAGAACATGGATCCATCATGCCTTGTTACCACTGAGCAGGCTGGTGGTGGTGGTGTAATGGTGTGGGGGATGTTTTCTTGGCACACTTTAGCCCCTTAGTGCCAATTGGGCATCGTTTAAATGCCACGGCCTACCTGAGCATTGTTTCTGACCATGTCCATCCCTTTATGGCCACCATGTACCCATCCTCTGATGGCTACTTCCAGCAGGATAATGCACCATGGCACAAAGCTCGAATCATTTCAAATTGGTTTTCTTGAACATGACAATGAGTTCACTGTACTAAAATGGCCTCCACAGTCACCAGATCTCAATCCAATAGAGCATCTTTGGGATGTGGTGGAACGGGAGATTCGCATCATGGATGTGCAGCCGACAAATCTGCGGCAACCGTGTGATGCCATCATGTCAATATGGACCAAACTCCCTGAGGAATGCTTCCAGCACCTTGTTGAATCTATGCCACGAAGAATTGAGGCAGTTCTGAAGGCAAAAGGGGGTCCAACCCGTTACTAGCATGGGGTACCTAATAAAGTGGCCGGTGAGTGTATATTTATGTATTTATTGTTTGCTTGTTTGTTTATATAGTAGTAACTGATTTTTGAACATACCTTCTGTTCTTGCAGTTGGGCTTTCACTACCTTGAACTCTGAGGATGGTGGTTTTTGATTGGCTGTCAACTCCTCAATATCACAGACCCAAGTCATCAGTATTTCCAGATTTTGCTGGAATGTCAACGGATCCCTGAACTCATCGTTCAGAGCCAAAGCACTTCTGCCATCCTTAACATAAGACCAAACAATATGCTAAAAATTTAACAAAAATTCATAAAGAAAGTACAATTTAAGAAAAGATCATTGAACTGTACCTTCCATTGATTTACACTTGATTCCTGGTCTGAGCTTGACTGACCATCACTCTGCAGCTGTGAATCACAACAATTTATTGGATTGGAAAATGAATAACTGGTGAACACAGTTGATACATTGACTCCAAAATCAGTTAAATGAAAATGGTAAATGATGGTAAAAAAGAAAAGAAAAACTTGATGAAGAACCTTAGTTTGATTTTGTTTGATCATTATTATAAATTGAATAACCTCTGCAAGTTCCTCAGCAGCTCCAGTAAGGACTCTAACAGTTCTGGTGACAATAGGGTCACCTCCTTTCCCCCCAGGAGGATACTCTGTCACCTCCACAATCTCTGTCACAATAGTCTCTGTCACCTCTGTGACTTCGGTAACCTCTCGAGTGTTCAGAGGCTTCCAGGACCAGGGACTTCCAGAATCCCTTCTCTGCAGGCTGGCTCTTCTGTCCATGGATCCATATTGACTAAGGGGGGATCTTCTGTACTCTGGAACGTTAGACCTTCTGGGCAAAGACCCATTCCGTGGTGTTTTAACTGGGGATGGGGTGCTTCTCCAAGCATTGTCCAGAGTGCTGGTAGTGGTGACAGTAGGGGCTGGGGAACTCCTCTGCTTGTCCGGTGTTGGAGTTTGTCGGAGAACATCTTCCACATCCTCTTTCCTTTTCTCTTCTCTAGGAGGCTCTGGGAGCGGCCATTCTGTCCGTTGCTGGTAGCACTCTTTCAAGACGCTCTCATCTGACTTAACATGTTTGGACTTTTGTCCCAAACAGCTAGGTCTGCTAATGAGGTTACCCATGATTCTTCAACCCAAAGGTTAATCGGGTCCCTTTGTCATACATACAGCCGTCGCCTAAACTACCTACAACACAAGGAAGGTCAAAGTGAGAAGATACTCTTCTTAAACAGTAAAAACACTTCTACCCCTTCAAGGAAATGGTATTAGTTTCCAGTTTCCTACTGCAGGTTCATCCAGGTCTGTCAAATACCACTGAGCTAAAATCTCAATTAGATTCCTTGCAGTCCTACAAAGGAGAGTATTTTACCACTTTCACGCCAACAAACACCACCATCATTATTTATACGGCAGAAAGGGTAACACTTGACTGAGGCTCTGTCCTGATCAAGAGGGGCCAGATTACTGCTGGAGAACTACAACATGAACACAGAATTGCTAGTACTAGCCATACAAATGCAAGTGACAAGCCTGTTTATGAGGGCAGTCTCCTCCAGGATACCCACGGTTCCTCCTGGCAGACACAGCCACTGTTCTCTGCCAAGACTGTCCCCGGGATGGCCCTGGGAAACTATTTAGCTCCTGATCAAATATGACAGGCATGGAAATGCTGCTTCATTTCATTGCCACAAAAGAATGAACAGTGTTTTTTTAGTGCACGTGTTCATGGTTTACTGGGAGACACAGACCCCAAGCCTGAGTAGCAGGACAGGGATGAACACGTAGACACAACCAGTCTACTCTGCACAGACATTTTTGCAGAGACACTATATGACACCATCGACACTATTAGACTGAGGAGATATTGAAACTATAGGAGACTATATGATTACTATGGTCTCTTTCTCAGGAAAAAAGCAAACAAACATTAAAACTAAATGATTCAAAACTTGTTCTATGTTTTATACATAACAAATTCATACTTTTTTAAAGCTATACTATGTAACTTTTGGCCCTCTAACTAAAAGTTACTTGTGGAGGAACAGTGTTTTGGTCATTGCTTGATTTGTGCTTTCGGCTCTGCTATTTTATACAGATGAATCTGATGGCTTGAGGTGCACCACTGTGCCCATGGTTACAAAAATCGCCTTGTCAGAATAAATGCCACAAACAACATCTAAACTCCCCCAATAATGAAAGAAGGATATGTAGAAAATATGTCTAATGAGCAGGTAAGTGACTTGAATGCCATTGTTGTTTTGATTTGTTGAAATCAATTGGTTTAAAACAACGTTACAGTTTGGCATCGCTGACATTAGACATAATGATTGCTATTAATATCAGGCAATGGTGGAAACAATAACTTGACAAGGCTATTTAGACCAAAGTAGTAACTGCTTTAGAGATTGGAATTGTTACAAACATAAACATTGTTTTTTTTATCTAGTCAATGCACAGCAAATGTGATTGATTCATGATTTATTACGCCACTGTCGCTTTCTTTTTTGCTTACAAATTCTTTTCAGTTTTAGGTTCAAATGTTGTGGCTTCAAGCTAATGCACTACATATAGTAGTAGTTTGACCCTCTTTCCTTTATTTACGGATATGTTTTTTTTATGTACTTGCTCATTATTTAAATTTAGCTCATTTAAAACAAATACAGAATGACATTTTGACCTTTTAGCTGGACATTCCAGGCACAATATGCCGGACAGTTTTGTTTGTGTAGGTAATACAGAGCTCCACTGAGTGCAGATAAGAGTGTATGTTAATTGGCACAGGTGATCTGGGTCAGTCCAGGTCATTGTGGTTCACTGCATGCTATAGCATGACGGGTGCTGAGGGAACTGGCTCCAGACACCAGACAGACTCAGTGTTTCTAGATCACTGGAGCAGAAGACTTAGTATCAGCCCACATTCTATCAGGGTGGATTAACTTGTATAATGTGTGAATTGACATTGCTAACACGTGACAGGAAAAACTATAATGATGAGTCTGATGCTATGGACATAGAATAAAAATTGATTGAGTTTTTATTTTCCTTTACTTCTTCCCCTCTCTTGACCGTAGGGTGTGAGTAACTGAGTTTATGTTAATTTGGATGGGGTAGGGATTTACTTTGAGACAATCTGTAATTTTTTCGATTCAATGAATGTACAGTTATGTTTTGTCTTGTTAAATACCAATAAAAATATTGGGAGTAAAAATTGACTGAGTGAAACAATTAAGATATTACTATTAACTAACAAGAAACTCTGATAAACGAATTAGTAATTGATGGCGCTCAGTTGAATGCAGTCGTTCACTGTTAGCTAATCAGTAACCACTTTTTTGTCATACCTCCAAGAGGACTACTAATGACAACTATACCCTATGGTTCATAATTAACATGAATAATGCTTAATGTATAATTAATTCGGAAACCCTTTAGTTTAGGGTCCAATTCTCACTATTAACTAGTTGCTTATTAGCATGCATATTACTATGATATTAGCTGTTTATTAGTACTTATAAAGCACGTACTAATGATTTATTCTGCATGACCATATTCTACATCCCTTAATCCCACCCAATACCTAAATTTAACAACTACCTTATTAACTATTAATAAGCAGTAATTAGAAGTTTATTGAGGCAAAAGTCATAGTTAATAGTTAGTTAATAGTGACAATTCAACCCGATCACACTAAATGCGTCTCTATAGCACGCAGTGTGTTTATCGTGTAATTTATACGCGAAAATGAGTTTTTACGTGCATAGGATACGCATGGGTTGGTTAGGGTAGGTTTAGTAGTTGTGTGGGGTGCGTGTGTATTATACGTTTGGGTAGAATTAGTGGTGTGGGGTGCGTGTGTATTACACGCAAATGAACTGCGTATCAAATGCACGCGAAAACTGCGTATCATATGCACGTAAAAACTCATTTTCGCGTATAAATTGCACGATAATACACAATGCGTGCTATAGAGACGCATTAACGTGAGAACAGGCTGACCAATTAGACCCTTATCTAAAATGTGACCATCAATTCTAATGTGAAGATCATAGTAACCCACTAGTAATGACTCAAGCGTTACATCCTTCTAAAGGAATTACAAATTATTTGGAACAGTATTCTACAGTGAAAGCATGATAACCAATGACTTCAGTCATTGCAAGCATGAAATGTTTTTGTAAGGTTTTAGGTAAGACTTGAGTCATTACTAGAGGGTTACAATGATCTTCAGTTTAGAATACTGATCAAATAATTAGTAGTTCCTTTATAAGCATGTAGTAACACTTGAGTCATTACTATCCAAAACCTTACAAAAACCTCAAAAGCTTACAATGACTTCAGTCATTACTAAAGTTTTATCATGTTTTTCACTTTAGAATACTGATCCAAATAAAAAGTTTTTCCTTCTGGAGGATTTGGTATTGATGTGTTACAAGTAGGTTATCATGATCTTCACATTAAAATAATTGTATATTAGGCATTATTCCCATTAATTCTGAACCTGTATAGTAGTTCTTAGTAGTTCTCTGGAAGGTATAAAAAAATGATTTACTGATTAGTTAATAGTGACCTATCTCATTCAACTGAGCACTATTAATTACTTATTCGTTAGTCACAGTTTCCTATTAGTTAGTAGTTATGAGAATGTTTGTATTGCATTATTCATTAATGACGGAACAGTATTCCAAAGTGTTACCCATTTTTCTTCATTCATGAGCACATAAAGCCATAAAATCTATATGCAGTTAATATGAACAATATCACCATTGACAAATGCTCTTCTTCAAATGAACTTTAATTAAATGAACTCATTCCATCCATCTCATGCCTGGCCTTGGTGGTTTACACAAGGAGGATGGGAGGGAAAGTAGAAATAGTCATTGATGTAAGAGCAGTGACACCGCAGATATTTAAATATAAAGATTTACAAGCATGGTGTCTATGTGTCTATAGTGAATGAAAGTAATTTTCTAAAGCTTGTGATAAATGATACCGATTGATTCTCCTTTGCATGTTTATCAAGGCTGATCTGAACCAACCTTCCACTTAACCTAACTCTGATTTCAGACCAACCCGTGTAGCCTCTTGATATTGATTTATGAGGCCAGTCTGTGACTGGCCTCCCAGTGAGCTAGATTAACCCCTGTGATGGACAGCTTTGTGCATCAACAATCCATAAAGCAAGATTAATTAAGTCTCAGCTCAAACTGAAAGATTCTTCTGTCATATTCTAACTAATGATATGCTAAATACATAAAAGGGGCAGAAATGCTCCACTTTACCTATTAAACCAATGGGTGTGGGTGCTGTCAGAGAGCACCATGACAATACCCTTTCCTAATCTGACCTCAATATGGCAGACAGACGGTGTATACTGGTGTCCTTCTGCTGGTGGATTGTCTCGTATCCAAAGCAGTGAGAGTGTTGGCTCTCTTGAAGTGTACTTATGTGTTTCCTAATAATCATAAATTAGCGCTCTCTTTGTCTAGGTGGGTTTGTGCGGTAATCATTATAGTGTTTGATGATAATTCATAAATACAAAGTCAATGCATAAATGCAAAATATGTATAAACTGTTTTTAGTCCAATTGATTGGTTGCATTTTATTTTACAGTACGTGCACTTACGTGTACTTACAGTGTACTTACCTAAGAAAGCACTTGTTAATATAAATAATAATATACATAAACTACATGGATTAAGGTTAGGTTCAGGGGTAGGTTTATGGTTAGTACCTAGTTATTACCCAGTTATTGTAATTAATAAGTACATAGTATGTACATGGGGAACAGGAATATAAAATAAAATGCTACAAATTGATTTGATACTTTAGCCAACATGTTGATATAGAATCTAAAAGTTTATACTACAAAAGGGATGAATAACATATTTTATTTTTTATAACTTTAGTAGAGGGTTTTGGTAATTGCCAATGAATATTTCATATGAATGTACTAGTAAAAAAATAAAAAATACTTACAGTACAGTAGCAGCAGTCACAAACAGCAGCAAACGAACTAATTACACCCAAATCCTTGCAAGCTGTTTCTATCCATACCACGTTTGTGCCAAAATCCCCTTCAGCGCATAGCATCACTGTCTCCCTGCATCCAAAAGCAGCTGGCGGTTTCAGTGAGAAAGTTTGAATGAGCCCACCATGAGCTGAAAGCGGTGGCGGTTTTGGCGGTT